GCACGAGCCAGCTCGCCTTGCTTGCTTGCTTGCTGCTGTTGATGGCGCGCCCCTTGCATGTATGCACCAGTATAGGTACACGATGTGCACGGACGTGTTGGCTCGCAACAACGCGTGAACTGCATGGTGACTGCAACGCCGTGCAGCATGCACCCGACCCGCCGCCAGCGCTTCACCCATCAGGAATCTTTTCTGATGCTTCACTTTCTTCCCTCCCGTCTCGCTCAGCGCTACCTCCACCTCTCAAACAGTAGTCGCTGAATCACAATCAAGCATCCAAGGGGTCACTTTTGCTCAACAAGGCTCTCCTTCCATCATACATGATCCGCCTCCGCGACTCAAATTGTGGCGAGAATGCAGACGGAAGGCGATGCTTCTTCAGACGACAAGATCGCAGAATCGTCGCAGCGTGCGCATGCGCATACGAATAGTCTTTCCGCCTCTCGACTATCTCTCAACCTGCATCTTCACCAAGCGTGCGAAGCTGGCAGTCTTGATATGGCCAAGGAGTGCTTGGAACGAGGTGCGGATGCGTGGTGGGAGGATGAGGGGACGATCGGATGGAGCGCTCTGCATTTCGCTGCGGAGAGCGGCAACACCAAATTGGTCAGATTTTTGCTCAGAAGAGGAGCGCTTTGGAATGCTGGTGCGTCTCGCTGATTTTCAGATGAAGCTCGACTTGTAATCGAACGCCACTGCTCTGCTTATGCTCTCTCCGTGCACTCCTTGTCTGCACGGCGTTTCATCAGTCGACTCTAACGGCATCACCGCAGCCGAGGTAGCTTGGTCCCTGAATGACGCACCTACATATCGGGCCATCATGGATGGTGAGTCAGCATGTGACGTCTAGTATTTGCAACAGACAGCGCGCTGAGCATTCTCAAGCCGGTCGTGCGCGAAACAGAGGGCGTGCGACAAACGATGCTTCGCAATGCTCTCGATCAGCGAGCTCGTGGCGAGGCTGCCGAAGATGCAGCAGCGGAAGAGACGGGTGCAAATGCGGATGGCATGGTGGTGGAAGTGCAAGCCGATGGGCATGTCGTTCTTCGACCTGATGCTAATGGAGAGGTATCAGCTAATAACAAGGCCTTCTTGTCCAGCAAACTGTCATTCGAGAGGGGAGAGGATGGGCTAGAGAGATGCGTCGATGTGGATGGTGGAGTGGTCATGGCGGGCTGGGAAACGTGAGTGTACTCACAGCTCGGCAAGGGTCCATGCATAGAAAGCAAAGTTCTGAGCGCAATGCCGTTGCGCTTCTGAAGCGACATCATGGAAAAGACTGCAGAATTGTTGTGCGCAGGTCAAAAGGAGGGATTCAGCGTGCTCAATATAGGCTTTGGCCTCGGCATCGTAAGCACTTCATAGTCGCAATCTCTCCTAACCGCTGCTCCAATCCAACGTGCTCAAGACAAACTCTCCATCCGCAGATCGACACGCTCTTTCAAAAGTACAAGCCCGGACGCCATGTCATCGTAGAGCCACATGCGGACGTCGTAGCTCACCTTCGCGCCCAAGGTTGGCAATCCAAGCCAGGCGTGCAAGTGGTCCAACAGAGATGGCAAGAGTGCATTGCGGAGCTGAGCGACTTTGGTGAGGAAAGAGAGCTGCTGGGCTTGGGCAAGCCAAGTATTCGATTCTTGAATTCATACTGATCAAGAAGGAATCTTCTTTTTTGCAAAAAAAAACAGACGTCATCTATACCGACACATACTCGGAAAACTATGCGGCGCTCAACGACTTTTTCGACAAGTTGCCAGATCTCGTCTCCGGCCCCTCTGCTCGTTTCTCATTCTGTCAGTGCAATGATGCATGATGCGTGCCATTTGCGATCCGCTCTCGTCCTGCCGACTGCCGACTGCCCGCTCATCCCCATGCACCCTGGCTCACCTGCCCTGCCACAGTCCACGGTCTAGCAGGTACGAACCCATTTCTATACGGTGAGAGCATCGCGCTGACCTGCTTTCTTCAAAGCTACAGAAATGCGCCCCCAGACTTATGCAGAACCGATCTTCCTCTTGGCCTCACACGCCCACCACTGGCCACCCACTCAGACGTTTATACGCGCGTAGCGGAGCTAGATCTGATCGGTATAGGCTTGCAGACGCA